TAAAGGTCCCCGAGGCCAACAATTAAAAGATTTCAAGTCATGCACGATTCTTCCAACCTTGGACCTAAAAATGTTTATCAACACATGGGATGAGCACTAAGTCCAATAGAGATCCCAAGATCCTAACCAATCGCAATATATAGATAAAAATGACCATGAATGCATCAAGATATATCATATAAGTAGTGTGACATTTAATATCTAAAATAGACACATAGTACTATATTTTCTCAAAACGTTCCTCTTGACACAATTCAGTATAAAACCAATTCTTCTCTTTCACATTCCCATCATTATTTCCAAAAGAAAATATTTTGAAACCTCATTCTTTCTTTGATAAAATTTCCCACGTTAACATAAAAGAATCTCACTTGAACCACCGTTCTGAAAATATAAACCCACATGCAAATCATAATCCCCATCTGATCTCTTAATACATTATAAGCATTTACATCCCAACATATATATCTACAACCTTCCTTGACCATAGGTCCAAGTATTTAAAAAGGTAACCGATATGAAACCGTAAACACATATATACATTTGAACAAGATAACCGAAGTAATATATACTACCAATCTCATCCCCACAATACTAAAACTGACAACACGAATATATATATATATCCAAAATGGAATAATTGAGGTAATACATACTACCAATCTCATCTCCACCGGCCTACAGGACGGATGGTAGACCAAACAATACCGATACCACATAACACTTTACCGACCTGAAAGGAGGTGCTCCTCAGGTCATACTTTACCGAGCGCAAACCGGAAGGGAACGAAGAACCTATCACAAGGTGTCATGCTTTGCAGCTAAAATACGGTGGGAAACATACCCATTTTTCACAGTTTACCAAGCGCAAATCGGAAGGGACGAGGAAACCTCTTTCAAGGCGCCATGCTTTCCCGGCTCAACACGGCAGGTAACGAACCCCCAAACAACATCACATCAAAAGCATAACATACTAACCAACATCAACAATGCACGGGTGTAATATATACAGCTAGTACAATCATCACAATCTCGACTATTAACAGTTAAATACATTAACCCATTTCCATCAAAACATGCTCCAAGCACCGCCGTTCAACAATGGCTTTTCTTACATTCTTAAAATGTTTACAAACACAACTTGAATTACTAACGTCAAAATCATACAATCCGACAACGGTCTCACACTACAAATACATTTATAAGCGTTGCAGTTATCTCTTTAACAACATAATCCATAACTCACCACTAAAATTATCTATTCACAATGTTCACTTACAACTAACATTGTATCATCTCATATCACACAGTCTATCCTACAATAATAACACATGGCATATATCTTACAAAAATCAATACCATCATCCACCGATGGCCAAGGACAAAACTTGAGATGCCAAATACATAATCCGAAATAATAGATACACCTTTAGGTAATTCCACACTCTCGTTCATCGCAAACTCTCAAGTTTTATAAAAAGGGTAATTAGTTCCATTTTGTTTTGGAAACAAAACCTTACTACTCCAAATCCCAACAAACACCACAGTGGCCACGTCCACCAACATTAAACCAAAATCCCAATTATTCATAACAACCACATTATAAACCCATTTCTATTTAACATTAAACTTCTCTTTAATATTCCAAATCAATAAACTAAACACCCAACCTTTCCAATTCATATCCTACACATGATTTACAACCCACAACCAATTATACACAACTCGTGAACTCACCAATATAAACCCAAATCCATCCATATGCTTTTTACAAAATCAACCACAAACTATGCTTTTAAATGTAGTGAAAATATCACAAGTCTATCTATAAAGAGGTATTGAAGAGAAGCTCAAGAATCCCCACCTCTTGGAGTGAAGAGAAGAAAAGCCAAAAATCCACTAGCAACAAAAACACGATCTGCTCAGATCAAAAGGAAGCCCTTGCGACCCTCTACATTTTGATCTAAAGAACTAGGGGTAGAAAATGGGTGTAACTAGATGAAACCCAAGGTTTTAGGTCCAAGAAGTCCTAACAATGGCGAAAAAGAGGAGAGAGAAAAGCAAAAAGTGACTTTTCCAGCGCACTATGGCCTTATATAGACGCGCAGTCCGCTTGAGCGCAAGAAGTGATACTTGAGCATCCAGACACAAAAAGTGTGACTGCTCGAGCGCAAGAAGTAACGCTCGAACGTAGAATACAAACTCTCAGAAGTTTTACAGACAAGTGACCACCGCTCAAGCACAATAAGTACCGCTCGAGCGTAAGAAAGCTCGAGTGAAGAATGACAACTCTCAGTGTCTCTACAGACATGTTGTGACGACCCCACCGCGTATAATGATTAGCACTTAATTGATTAAGGAGATTTAAATTTTAATTACTCATTATGCTTATTTAATTTGGGATTTACAAAAGTTATGGTGACTAATTCATACATGATTTTATTAAGGGTTTATGTTAGAATTTTGAAATTGAAAGCCTAAATGGCTCAAGATGGTACAAATGGTGATTTGAATTATTTTAATTTCGAGTATTGGACCATATGGAGTTTAATTAAATATTCGATTCAGATTTATAAAATTGAGATTTGATTAATTGGGTCCGAATTAAAGTTAATTAAGTTATACGAAGTAAGAATTAAGATTATTATGAATTAAATTCATTTATGTGGTGTCTAATTTGAATATGTAATTTATTGGCGAAATTTTGAGTCTGATCAGAAATTGAAGGCTTAAATGATATAAGAAACCCAAATTGAGGATGGAAATAAGTTTAATTTAATATTTGGAACATTTGGGAGTTTGATTAAAAACCTGATTTAGAATAATGAATTTAAATATAATGAATTGGGCTCTAAAGAAAGTCAAATTGGACAAATTAAATTATGTGGAATTTATGATTAGTTGTAATTAACTTAATTATGTGTTAATTAAGATTTATTAAGACTAAGTGTTATTTAAATTAAGCTAATCTTATTCATGAATTAAATTAAGAAAGAATCTAGAATTGTGAGTGTGTGGGTGTGGAGAGAAACCTGTGTGGGTGTGCTGAGAATTCTACACTACAACAAAATACACATTTGGCGACTAAAATTGGCGACTAAAACAAATTTAGTCGCCAAAAGTTTTGGAATTGGCGACTAAAACTTTTTTTTGGTCGCCAAAAGTATAATATTTAGTTACTAAATTTTTTTAGTCGGGATATATTGATTATTGGCGACTACAAAATAACATAGTCGCTAAAAATACTAGAATTGGCGACAAAAAAAAATTTTAGTCGCTGTATATTGACTTTTTGGCTACTAAAATATTTAGTCGCTGAATGTAAAATTAAAATTTTATTTTTTATCTTTGGCGACCAAAAATTAGTTTAGTCGCCGTACATTAGGTATTGGCTACTAAAATATTTAGTCGCCAAATGTAAAATTTAAAAAAAAAAAAACTATCTTTGGCGACCAAAAGTTTAGTCCCCAAAATAAATTTTCAGCCACTAAAAATTAATTTAGCCGCTAAAAAATAAAAAATTAGAGGGAGACATTTCTAATTTAAATTTGAGGGATTTATAAAAGTAATCGGCCATAAAAAGATTTAGTCGCTAATGGTGTTATATATATATATTTGGATTCCAAAATTTTACCAGCGCCTCTGTCTCTCTCTCTTCAGCGTCTCTCTATCTCTCCGGTGCTCCTCTCCCTTCCCTCGCGGACGCCGGGAACCGGAGCATCAATTCCTACTCCTTTTGGTCACCGTCACCTGAGATCCATGATGAGTTCATGAACACCAATTCGGAGCCAAGATCCAGAACAACTCCGAGCCAAGATCGAAGATCTCAACTCCAAAGTCTCCTTCTACTATTGAAGAGAGAGAGAGAGAGAGAGAGAGAGAGAGACACTAGTTGAAGCTGAAAATCAAAAACCCATCTCCAAAACCCGACTTTTTAAACTTCAAATCCACTGTTTTGCCTCCTCCACCAGGTAAAAATTCATTTTTTTTCTATGTATCTTCGTTTCTTTTCTCTGATACTCTTAGTATTTCCACGAATTTCAATGCCAACATGTCTTTTTTCTTTACTTTTCTTTCATTTTTGTTTTGTGTAGTTCGCAATTGAAGAAATTATTATCTTTGAAATAGTTAATAAAGTACTCAAGCATTTGAATATAGGTTGAGAAATAAGAATTAAGTTTTTATGGTTTTTTGTGCTGTTGAAGAATGGGAATATATGTTGCGCCAAAGATGTTTGACAAATTGCCTGACCCAGTTTTGAACTTTTAAAGATTCAACAGGAATTAGTTCTTTTTAATCTTTCTTTTCTTGGTTTGACATTTTGCCTGGGCGGCCTTTTCTAATGAATTAGTGAATTTGAAGTGTTAGGTTTATTGTTCAAAGCTCACTCAAAACATATGATTATTCAAGTTCATCCTCCTTGCAAACAACTGGGTTGCTCATTTTTCAATCTCATTATCTACTTCCTGTGTCAAGAAGTCATTCTGCATTATAACATTTTTTAACATACTTAAATGAGGATCCATCAATAATACTTATTTGGGCAATGTAAAGGCTTCTGGATTTTATCCTGCCCTTCTTGAGAGGAAAAATGAGCTAGAAGTGGAGATTCGCGAATTTTTTACGGATGAAGTGAGGATGAAATTTGAGTCTGAAAATTACACGTTTGATGTTTATGTTAGAAAGGATGGGCAGGTTAAGCTTTTGGATTTTAACCCTTGGGGTGCATTTACACTGCCATTGCTGTTTACATGGGAGGAATTGGAGCAAAATTTTAATGAAAATGGTAATACTTTGGAGTTTCGAATAGTAGAGAGCCAATGTGGAGTACGGCCCGGATTAAAAACTGCAGTTCTTTACGATTACTTAGACACCAGTCCAGGGAGTGGTTGGGATCAATTCCTGAGGAATGCTGATGAGGAGTTGCAACGCCAGATTCAGTCCTCTGGCAAAGGTGATTAAGGATTTTGTTTTTCCCATTTCTAAGGTTAGTGTGACAGTCATTATATGTCAAATATTAGCTAAATATTTCATGTGCCTGTCGATTTTGTGTTTGTACAAAACCTTCTACTATTGCACTTCTATCTCATGACCACTTTCTTCTTCATCTTTTTTTCCTGTTCTTTTATAATTGCTTAATGTGATGGATTTTCTATATATATATATACAAAATAATAAATAAAAAACGGTCTTTTGCTCATCTGACTCAAGTTTGCCTTGTCCTATGCTCTTTGGTGTTGTCTCACAAAAGTTTCAGGAGAACCTATTGTAATTTTGTGTGATGATCACTTTGCTATAATCTTGGGTTTACTAGTTGATGGTTATGAAAAGTGATAGATCAATTTCAGTGATCCTGTCTATGTTGCAGATTTTATGTTCATTTGTCATTGTCAGCATGGTAGAATCAGATCTAACCTCTCAATAGAAGGAAGATATGTATGTATAGGGTTCTACATTGTGTTGCAAGAATGTGTTTGTTCAGATGGATTAAAAGTTATTAGAATTCTAGAAAATTTGGGTTAAAAAAAGTTTATGCTTGATTGAATTAGCTAGTGTTTCACATAAAGACCATCTTAAATAACTCTCCAAAAATCTCGTCCTCTCCGAGACCAGTAATTGAAAACTTGGAAACTTGATTTTATTTTGCTTGATTGCATTAATGAATAATTCACACAGATCATCTCAAACATCCAATAAACTCTTTTCAGTTCCAGTATAATCCATATCCTTGGATAATCCAAATCCTCTAAAGTTACGTATTGCTGTATTTTATAGAGTAAATTATCTATTGGTTTAGATAACAATGTACACTATAATTCATTATAAGTGTATATACCTATGTATTTATTTCTTCATTTCCAATCTTAAGCTTATCCCGTGCACAATTATTAACCAATAAAAAACTTACTTTGTAAGTTATTGCACAAATTAACCATAAAAGAGTCAGACCCCTCGGATGGGGTACTTACTGGGTCAACTTGTAAGCAAGGTTCAAAAGAGTAGTAGTTAATTAATGCCATTAAGGAGGAAGCTCATCTAATGGATATACCAATCCAGCTAGGCTCTACAAAAATGTTCTGGGCAACAATCTTTGCATTTACTCGATTTTTACTAGAATACTCACTGATAGTACAGCTGATGTACTTCATACAGCAAGATAATTACTATGAGGGAATTATTTCGGTGTTTTGGATGAGGAATTCTGATATCTATTCAAGTGTTTCTGTATCCTATTTGTGCTAAATCTTGTGGTATTTTTCAAATGAAAGAACATAATTCTTTGGCCAACAATGACATTAGTTTCTGCATTTGTTTGTTTATCGAAATTCTTGTTTTCTCTTCTGAATTCTAACATTGTTTGAAACTTGTGATTGATAATGGGAGATTGGTCAGGACTTGGTGCGCACATCAAAAATCAGTGACTTGCTTGACATTTTCCAGCGATGATTCATTTCTTATTTCTGGTTCAGAAGATGGCATGATCATTATTTGGCCTATGATCGGGTAAAAAAAGTGAATCTTCGTTTCTTCAACAATTTAATGTTTGCATTTGAATGTCGTTTAGTTTTATTTTTCAGGAAAAATAAATAACTGACTTTGTAATCACATTGTTTGGTGGAAGTTTGGTAGACGAGACAGATTGTTGGACTGTGGGTTTAAAACTAAATTTTTCGTTGGAACTTTCATCCTCTATAACGGGCCTATTAACTGCATCAAGTGGTTCAAGTTTAATTTTTTTTTATCACGCTCCCTCGATGGCACATGCAAGGTTACTTAATTATGTTAAATGTTTCATAATAATATCTTCCTAGCATGAGTATTTTTGTTTCTCGAAATGACTTATTTTCGTATTGTAGGTATGGGACCTTGTTATTGGAAGACTTTTACAAACGCGAGCTTTTCTACTACCAATTACTGCAATAGTTGTTGATCCAACAAAGATGAAGTTATTTTCTGGTGGTATAGATTACTAGTGGATATTTTCTTTTTGTATACGGAGGACATCATTTTTGTATGATTATCTATTTGTATGGAATTATTATTTTGGGTTGGATTATATTTGGTTTGTATAGAATTTGATGTTACAAGACCAAATTTTTGGATGGTTGAAAGTGAAATAGAAATAGACATATTTATTGTTTTGTTTATATACAGGGTGCAAGTTGCACGAAATAAATACAAGTTGTGCATAAATTAATAATAATAAAAATAATAAAAATAACACTAAATAAAGTTTTTGGTGACTAAATGTTTAGTAGCCAAAAAAACAAAATAAAACTTGTTGGCTACTAAAAATTTAGTAGCCAAAAACAAACCAAAGATTTTTTGGCGACTAAAAATTTAGTAGTCAAAAATATATGAGACTTTAGGCGACTAAATAGTTTAGTAGCTAAAAAAAAAATATGAAAATTAATTTTTTTTGGCGACTAAATATTTAGTAGCTAATAATAAATGATACTTTGGGCGACTAAAAGTTTAGTCGCTGAAAATAAAAATTAATTTTATTTAAAAACTTTTGGCGACTAAATATTTAGTCGCCAATTTATGACTTTTGGCTACTAAAAAATATTTAGTTGCCAATACCTCATACTTTTCCCTACTAAAACATTAGTAGCCATTTATAGGACTTTTGGCGACTAAATTTTTTTTAGTCGCCAAAACCTTCCCCGACCGTTTTCCCTCGACAAATCTAGCGACCAAAATATTTAGTTAGGAAAAGGCTTCGGCGACTAAAAACCTTACTTTTGGCAACTAAAACTTTAGTCGCCAAAAGTGCATTTTTTTGTAGTGCTAGTTATACAAGTGTGTATACGTGTGATGTTGAGACAAAGGTGTGTGTGTGTGTGCTGGTGAGTTCTAGAATCAATGAGAACAAAAGAAAAACAAAAAGAAAAAAGTGAACTCAATATGTTGGATAGGAATGTAATTGAAGCAAAAAGGGCCGAGAGAGAGAAAGAGGAGGACCGACAGAGAGAGTTCGCTACTGGAAATCCAACTCAAGAGTTCAAGAAGAGGAAATAAGGAAGGAAAAACTAGGAAAGGTGTGGAATTAAAAGGGAGTTCAAGAATTTATCAAAGATTCATCAAATTCAAGAGTTTAGGTAAGAAATTCAAGCTTAATCCTTATAGATTGATTACTTAACAAGCAAAATCAAGAAGTAAATGGGTTTAATTTCATGGAAATAAAAAGAATTAGGAAAAGAATGAAGAAAATTTGAGTTAGGTTTGATAATTAAGAAATTGATGTCGTAATTTAATATTTGAGTTTGATCTTTGTCATCCTTCATAAATTTGAAGGTTATCCTTACATGCATTGTGAATCTTCAAGATTTTAGAATTTAATTCATATTTTAAAGTTTATGAGTTTGGTTGTGATATAAATTAAGAAGTCAAACTATAGTTTGAGCTTGGTAACGGAGAATTGGTTGGATTTCGATAAGTGTTTTATACATGCATCATGGATTTTGAAGAATTTAAGATGATCAATTTCATGTTTTGAAGAAAAGAAGGAAGAAATATTATAAAAAATCAAGTTTATGGAAATTTGGGGTTAATCCTAAAGTTAGAAAATGTTTTGATTTTATTATGAAAGATATGAATTGGTTTAATTTTAATTTTGAATCCATGCATGTAATTCAGATTAAAAGTTTTATTCAAATTGAACATATTTTGAAACATCTGTAATTAAGTTTTGGGTTAAAAAGTATGAGTTTATGAAGAATGAGATTTAATTTTATATTAAAGGAGTTTTGATGTCAATGGTTTAAAATTGATCAAGTTTTCTTAATTATTTAAGAGTTTGTAATATTTTAGACAACCCATGTTAAACCTAAGTTTTGAAATTATATTTTGGAATTATATTTTGAAAGCTTAATTCATATTTTAGAACTTATGAAATTGAAATTGGGTTTGATATGGATGAAATGAATTAAATTTAAATTTCGATAAATATGGAAATAAATTGTAATTTATATTTGAGAATCAAAACTTAGTTTGATTTTGATTTAAATTTCATACATGCAAATATTGTTGAAAGGGCGTTATAGATTCAATTTTAAGTTTCATTAAACAAATATATGTAATCGGGAATGTTTTTGCATATTCGATTGAGTTATGCATGAATTTGGAGCCTTGGTAATGTGTATTGAAGTTTAAATAACGTTCTAGAAAACCCAGAATTTGTCACTGTCGCTGGAGCAAAGAAGTTGTCGCTCGAGCGCAGAATGCAAACAAGCTGTATTTTTGTAGACCAAGGGGTTTACTCGAGCAACCAATGTTGCGCTCGAGCGAAGGGTCCTATTTCATAAACTTTTGAAAAGCTGTTTCATATTTCGATTTCCGTTCTCTTTCACTTCCAAGCATTCTAGACATGATTTATGGCTCATTGAAGATTAATAAGCTAACAATCAATATAAATTAGTTAATTAAAGAATGAATCATTGATCTAGTAGTTGTAATTGTTTAAGAAGTCAAGTAAGGAATTGGTCTATTGAAAAATGACTCAGTAATAAAAGAATATGTGAAATAAGAACCCGGTTCATTTTAATAAGAAAGAATAAGCGTAGTAGAATTTCAGACTACTTAGACAGAAAAAGACAAGAAAAGTCAAGTTTGATTAAGAAATTGATATTGTATTTCAATGTGTATATGTTACGTGCTTGTGTTGGTCACGTGCTATTGTCTGCCTGATTTATTTGATCTGTCCAATCTGTCTGATTTGCTCTACAGCTATCTGTGAGTAATAACTCTGTAAAGCTATGTTCAAGTTAAATTATTTTCTGTATGTGAAGTAAGAGCTGTTTTATGAAATGTTATGTTCTGTAATATGAATGATTGTGCAATTCTAATAAATATTTGTGACATTAAATCTGTGATTCAAGTATGCTATCTGTACCTGGACCGGAGGTTCCTTTATGGAACTGACAAGTTATCTATACCCGGCTGGAGGTTCCTTTATAGAACTGACAAGTTATCCATACCCGGCCGGAGGTCCCTCTATAGAACTGACAAGTATGATCTGTGATACTTTGTATGTGATCTGTTAGCACTAACGGATATACAATGTAAGATTAAGCATGAACTCTGATTTCTGTATGTGATTCGAATAAGAATATGAATATGAATCTGTTTCTGATTAAAATGTGAATATGCATAAGACTCTGTTTCTAATAAGAATCTGTTTTGATATAAACTCTGATTTCTGGTTCTGTGATGGACATCATTCGTTAAAACCCTTTACTTTGTTATTACTCACTGGGCTCCAGCTCACAGTATTATTTATGTATGTAGGTGATTAGGCGCGTGACCAGGCTTAAAGGCGTCTGCCTAGAATATGTTTTTGTCAGCCAACCTATGTGCCTCCCGTGGAGGTTCCGAATACGTCAAATGGTTATGGCTATGTGATTAAGTTCAAGTTTGTTTTCTTGTTTGGTTAAACTAGTCTTTGTTATTTTGTAAATAGAGCTAAGTTCCTTTTGTCTAATCTGTATATATATGATGACGTAAGGATGATGTGTAGATATGTATATAAAAAGTTTAAAATTTTTCTATCTCATATAAGTTTGCACAGCTCAATGAATGTTATATATTTATTATTTGCTTCCGCTAGCCCCTTATATTATGTTAATCTGTCTCAGAGGCCTTTGGTAATCCTAGGATTACTGGCCGATTACGATGTTAAACCTATAGGGGCGGGTTTGGGTTGTGACACCTGCAAAAGTACTAGAAGTTCACAATGATCGCTCGAGCGCAGAAGAAAATTTCTGGGCAACAACAGCATGAGAAATAAGTCACCAACATCTTCCTAAGGCAACCAAGACGCTTCGATTACCAAACCCAATAAACAATGAGCGGAAGCAAGATATGAACGACCAAAAAAACAATGAAACCCGAATCTAAAACATCAATAGGTCAGATTTAAACTAAGGTCGCTATAACCTCCCCCTTTTAAGGAATTTTGTCCCTAAAATTAGAGAGGATGATAAAACACAAGGTGTCCAATGGTGAAAAGAAAAACACCCACCAAAACCAAAGTTAGATCCATAGGAGGGATACTTTCCTCAGATCTCGGTCCAACGCCTTAGTGCCCCAAAGACTCCCGAGCAACACCCAATAAGAAAGAAGCCACAACTGACTCTCTGACCCACATTTCCCGTGGGATCCAAGAGAATAAACCAAACGACTATGCGACCTACACCCTAAACGCCAATTAAGTTCCAGCCGCACGCAACCAACCAAACAGAAACCGAGCTCCCCACACTCGAACATTAGAGGAAAAACCACACTTACAACCAGAAACTCTTAAGCAACTCTCGCCAAAGAGCACTACACCCACAAATCACAGTCTAAAGAGACAACTCTCCGGCACAACCAAAAACTACCAACGTCGAACCCACAAGAAAGTTACAACACATAACAAGTAACTGAAACCAAACCATAACACAATTCACCCCTACAAGGTGGAGTAGAACAATTACATACATCGGTTAAAATAACAGTTTTCTTATTAATCTGAAATTTCTTTTATCACTTACACTATTTTTCTCGAAAGTTATTCAAACTCTCACCATTTTCCAACAAAATTTTGTTCCAAAATTCCAAGAAGATCAATTATTTTGCAAATATTTTCTCTGAACAACTTGTGAAATTTCAAACCTAGAGTTTTCAGTTGAAACGAAATGCCATGAAAGACCATAAAACCCAAGTCACTTTCTAGTTTATTTCTCAACAACATCCGGTGAGCCTTAACCATCACCCAATCACAACCATCACACCCATGGTAATTCCACAATTTGATACACACATTTTTATCACAACAATGAATAGAAATAAATACAGTAGCAAGAGATATAATACAACACATATAACTTCCTAAATCCCGAAAGTTCCAAACCAACACAACACTAGTAATATTAATCAACATAATTCAATGGCATAAAAGTGCTTGCAAAATTTACACATTAACACGTTACCCCAACTCAATAGGTTCTACACACCCATACTAACCAAACAACACCCATAAATGAGGCTCCATGCTCCCAAGTACAACCAGAATGACCCCTAAACCTTACAACCATTAGCTCAAACCGAAAACGATTTCCGAGGTGACTATGTATCAACCAACTTCGAATATCATACAACCAAACCA